CGGTAGGCCGATGCCTCAACTGAGGCGGATACCGGTACTTATACCGGTAGGCAATGGTCTGGCCTCAATGCCGCGAGGCCAGGCCAGACCCTGGACCGTCCAGATGGACGGCTCAGCCTCAATCGGCGGGCGGCAGCTTCAAGAGCGCCGCCAGGTCCAAACGAAGTGTCGTTTGGGCCTACCCGATGGGTGACAGTCCAAGATCAGGCCTTTAGGGCCTGTAACCCCAAAGGTCGGGCCTTTAGGCCCTGGTGTGTCCCTCCGGCCCTAAGTCGGGTCCGGTAGGACCCGTGTGAGTCGAAGATGTAACATTAGCCCACCACTTGCCTCTCCACTTGACCACTTGCCCACTTGCCTACCTTCTAGAAGGTCTACAGCTAAGCTTCCGGAACTCGCTAAGACTCCTACGCTATAGACCTACAGATCGAACCCCTGCTGCCTATGGACCTACGACAGGCCTACCAACTGCCTACGAATGCACAGGTCACAGGTTCAATTCTCGCGGTCTACACAGATACTGTACATGGGTAGGATGAGGTCTAGGGATCGAACCCTGCGTACTGCATCCGCTACTGTTAAAAGGTGAAAACCGTTTCATTTTCTTTCTTTTTTCGTTTTTTTTTTTCTCTCCTTTCACAACTTCGGATATTAACATTTCGTTTTATCTGGAAATTTCTGGTATTGGCATTTCGTTTTCACACAATAAATATCCAAAAAATTCTGATATTAGCATCTCGGGAAATTTCTGATATTGGCAGTTCGTTTTCACGCAATAAATATCCAAAAATTTCTGATATTAGCATTTCGGGAAATTTCTGATATTGGCATTTCGTTTTCATGCAACAGATATCCGAAAATTTCTGATAATAGTATTTCGTTTTATCCGAAAATTTCTGATGCTTGCATTTCGTCCGAAAATTTCTGATAGCAGCATTCGTTTTCTCTTTGCTATTAGTATCAGAAAAGTTCTGACGTGAGCATCTCGTTTTCTAGGCAAATTAGGGTTATGACGAAGGTTGTCATATTCAGGGAAACGGGATTTATCCCTTTCTGAAAATCGAATCTCCAGCCTATTTCGCAAAAAGTTGGTCTTTAAAAGCCGAACTTTTGCGAAGCCACCAGCATTTCGTTGGGAGGCATAATCGGAGGTTGTCATATTCTTGGAAACTGGATTTATTCTCTTGCTGAAAATCGAATCTCTACCCTATCTTCGCAAAAAAAAATAAAAAATAAAAAATAATAATAATAATTCAAAATCGCAAATTTTTTTTTTGAAAGCCGAAATTTTGCGAAGTCTTGCCTAGATCTCACTCTCATCGCATTGTCCGTACAATGCCTCACTGCTAGCAGATCAACAGATATTCAAAAAAAAAAAAAAAAAAAAAGAGGGATCAACTTCTTTTATTTTTTTTTATTTTTTCTGTTGATTAGGACCGGCGTGGACATTGCAGTTTGGTGGGTTGCCTGTGTTTCCCTCCCACCCACCCCCTTTGCTGTTTTCTCGGCTTGGTAAGTGCCACGTCAGTGCAGTGCCACGTCTGCAGTACCATCCCAGCAGACTGCGTCAGCAGTACCATCCCAGCAGACCACGTCAGCAGTGCCACGTCAGCAGTACCGCATCATCAACACCGTACAGCTAACTGCAGCTTATGCTCTGACGCAGCAACCGCATCGCCGCACGTGACGGGCAGGCAGCCGCAGCAGAACAGCAGCTACCTCTGCCCCACCCCTCTGAGATGGACAACCCCACGGTGGACAATGCCGCATCCGGCAGTCCACGCGAGGCATGCAGCTCGAACCCCCCGGCCCCACAGGCCCAGCAGGAGGGTTCCACTGCAACTTCTGCGGGAACCCTCGACACTGCACCAGTCTGGCAGCAAGGAGAGACCATGACGGCCTTCCTGGCCCGCCTGGGCACTTACATGCAACAAGTCCAAGAGGAACAGCAACGTGAGGCGGCAGCCGAAGAAGCAGGTTTCAATGCCATTGCACACGCAGACGAGCAACCGCGCCAGCAGCAAGCGGACGCCGCTGCCAATCATAACAAAGCTCAACGAGATGCCGCATCTGTCCTCATGCAGCAGGAAGCCGCTCATATCGCCGCACTCCGAGCTTGGAATGTTGATCCGGCGGCAGCGACGGAACCAACTACGGAGGACCAGACTAAGTCAGCTGTCACCAGCATGATGCACCAAGTCATCCTCACTTGTAACTGGCAACAAGTGGAGCTGGCCCGGTAGGCATGTACCATTACTGAGTACGAGGAGACTCTTAAGAGCCTCCATGCCCGCCTGGACATGTTGGAGAAGGATGACGTGCCGCACAGGCACACGACATCGTCAAGCATTGATCCATCGATCCGCGAGCTGGAAGGACGGCTGGATCACCTAGTCGCGCTTGTCGGCGATTTGAACAGTTTCTGACACCCGACGACCATCAGCCAGCAAATAGCCGCCCTACAAGCGGATCTGCGTCAACTGCAGCAGCAACCAACTGGGACCTGCAACAACTTGACACCGAAACAGTACAAGATGCCGAAGTTCAGCATCGACAAGTTTTATGACTACCACAAGGCGGACCCCATCAGTTGGTGGCAAGGGTTCACAAATGAGCTCTCCATCCACTTGGTCCCGCCCGAGTCGAAGATCTCAGCACTTTACCTCTGCAGCACCGGTGCCAGCCAAGTGTGGCTCAACCACCTGGCTCAAACCGAAGGCATCGAAGTCTCGAAGCTTTATACCAAGATCACTTGGGAGGCCATGACCGAGAAGTGGCGGAAACGCTTCATCATCGACGACGCTCAAGGCAAAGGCGTGAACCGGATCTTCAGCATGCATCAAGGCAGCCAGCCAACACGCAAATGGCTAACCGAGTGGCAGAAAATCTGGACATACCGTTCGTTCATCTTCGTCGCGAATTCTTCCAACGGTCGGTTGACGCGTTGAGCACGACCCTTGGGGAGCGCAACTTGTACAAGGACTTTGACCAGATCGTGGAGAAGGCGCGTGAAGTCATCCAAACCAATCGGTGGGCAGCCAACGAGCGGCGAAGCCAACCGAATTTTGTGGAAGAGGGCAAAGGCCCGCGGCCGCAGCAAGTCGCTGCTGTCCAAGGAAATGGACAAAAGAACGACCAGGCGATGACTCACGAGTCTAGTGAAGGAGACGGAGTCAACGCCCTTCCGCCACGACGCAACAACAACAACAACAAGAAGGTGAAATCTGCGTCAACAACGGAAGCCGGACAACCAAATGAGCCATGGAAGAAGTTCAGCCTCACGGAGGAGCAATACAAACTCCGCCAGAGGTGGAACTGTTGCTACTGGTGCAACAACACCAAGCATACGACGTCACAATGCCCTGACAAAGGCAAAAAAGACGTCCGTCCACGACAAAGTTCGGGACCAGCCCCCGCTCCCTCCTTCACTGGACTTTCCCCTCTGTCC